AAGTCAGCTGTGGATGTGCCTGAGACCTGGTTTAACAATGGCCTCCTGCCCCCATTTTAAGGACCTAGAATCAATGTTTCTGCACTTTATCCTCTCTGATACCACAGAGCAGATTCACACTTGCAGTTCTCTCAGGTAAATCCCTCTCTCCCTAGATGTCTGCATCACCCGTACTCTGACTTCCTCTAGCACTGTGATTAGTGTCCCAGTGTATGCTAGTCTGCCCTACCTCAAGTGGCACTTACGCTCCCTCACGGTGCTGCACCTCCCCCACAGCACTAGGGCCCTCAAAAGGCTGCTCACAGTGCATTTATTTGTCTGCTCTCACTTGTCTTTCCTCTGAAATGAATGTTCCACGAGGTAGGAATTTTGTTTCCATAGGATAGAACCTTGTTTGTTTATTATTATAATTGTTTTTAGCTACTATATCTATAGAACTTCCAAATACTTTCTGAGTGCACAAATGCATGCATGAATGAATGAATGGGAGGGATTCTGGCATTACAATACGGGGTAGGGTTTTAAGTGGCTCTCACAGCATGAGGTGAGGAGAAGCCAGTGTAGTGTCCTCTGTATTTACAGCCTCTTTGCATCACGCCCGCAGCCCCTACTGCCTGAGCTCCACTCCCTGTCAGGTCATCAGTGACTTTTGATTCTCAAAGGAGTGGGAATTCTACTGTAACCTGCATTCCAGGGATCTAGCTTGTACCGATTTGAATCATTCACCAACCACCCCCACGCCACCTCTATCCATGATGCATCTAACAATTGTTTAGTTCCAGGGCTAACTGTTATAGCTTATGCAGTGGTACCTTGGTTCACCAACGCATTTTTTTGCAAACAATTTCGTTTGCAAACACAACCGAGGCCATCTTTCCCATTCAAACACAGATGTGGCCATCCTTTCCAAATTAAGTTTGTGAAATGAGATGCCACTGTATAATAGCAAATAAGCATAAGGCACTATTGCAAAAATACTAAACCTCATCAATATATTGAAAAGAGCTAGAGCTACACACACCAATGCATTAAATTTAGCAGTGTGTAGTGGTTACTTTTTGCAAAGAAGAAATATCTTTTAATAGTACCGTACACATTTTGTCAGAGGACAAAGACTGAGGACTAAAGCATTGAAATTACTCAGTATATCCCTGTAATAACTATCCTTGAGTGGAATAGTGCTTTGTTTGTTTATTTATTGTATTATATGTTTACCTGATACACAGTTATGAATAACTGAATTCTATAACCGAAGATATCATCTACATAGTATGTTGCTTGCAGAAGAGAATGCAAATATAATCCACTTTATTGTACTGATTTCTTCTGTTTCAAAATCTCAAGACATTCTTTAGTGCAATGGACTCAGGTTTGACAGTTCTCATGCTCAAAAGTTCTTCCAAGTTTCTAACCAAAATCCTATTTGAAGTGTAAGGTTCATTAGGTCAATAGCTTGTGATGGAACAGGCCCATTAAATCCAACTTCTGGGTAAGTTAAAGCTTGTGAATGACTCCTAGCTAAATAACATAATTACAGCTATGGACTAAAGCCAAGAAACCTGCCATTTACTTCACAGTAATCTTAAATGTAAAAAGAATGTCCTTTGTGTAAAATCACCTTGAAAAGGAGAAAGCACTTAAAGCAAGAGATTGCCATGTGGTAAAAGGGTTTTCATCAGAAAGAAGGGGATTAAGAAGGTATTTAATTATGGCAAGCTGGCTAGTGGCTTAATGCGGTGGAAAATGAGGGTGTGGACCAGTTGGGGATTCTGGGGATTTGTGAAGGCCTGACAGCAACATGGAATTTTGTAAAAGGAGAATTTGAGGGGCACCCAGAAGCCAGTTTGTGAGACAACCAGCATCTTCAGAAGAGGGCTGTGAGTGAGAAGATGAAATCAGTTAGTCCTCCCAGGCTAGAGTGGAATAGCACCCAGAAACCACGAAAGAGCAGGCAGCAATGTCATCTGCCAACCAAAAGACATGGGAAAGGGAATCTTCTCGCCAGCCCTAATTTGTCTTTGTAACATTTGTAGCCAAATGGCCTCTGCAGCTTCAGATGACCCCGAGAAGGCAAGAACTGTCTGGAAAGAACAGTCGATTTCTTCCTGTACTGCTAATGAGGGTCATTAATTTATGTCCCATTTAAGGAACCTAATTTCATTCGTAAGGTTCTCTTTCATTTATAATCAAAATGAAACCTATTTTATTTTTTTTTTCTGCCCTCAGGGTGATTTCCTGGTCTCAGGAAATCAGTCTTTATGCTCTGGAATTTTTCCAACATACTTACCTAAGATGTTAGTTCTAGGGTCTAAACCAGATCATAGTACACTCATAAAACCTGGCGTGACAGAAAGGAGAAAGGGTGATCTCCGCTTGCTTCCACTCATTTTATATTCCTGGTGTGGAGGTGGCATATAGTGTCCTGACTCATACTTAATTTGATTTCACATTTATACAGAATGACACTTGAAAATTCTGCACACTGAGGCCCTTTTTCATAATTTACTTCTTATTTAAAAGCAAAAAAGTTTTAAAAACTGTATCAAAGAGGAAATAAATCTTTACTTATTAAATAAGTACTTGTTTACTTTGTTTAAAAATTCAACTATAGATCAGATCAATATATAAATAGTTCATAAACATGTTGAATTTATATACTGTGTCTTATTTGTTCTACTGTGATTTTTATTAGACTTTCTTTTTTGTTTTAGATATTTTTTTTTATTACCAGGAATCAAACTCACAACCTTGCACTTGCCAGGCAGGCGCTGTGGCTCTTAGCTATATCCCCTGCCCTTTGACTTTTGAATTATCAAAAACAGCTTAATTGAAATAGAAATTGAAGAATATTTTGCAAAATACTTGTCTCTCACACTGCAAGATGTTCTAGGTGATGAAAAACCCGATACTGAAAATCTCTCACAGATCAGAAGGGACTAAGGAGTTAGGGCACATAAATGCTACTTCTAATCCTAGATTGGATCCTGACATAGAAGACAGAAAAAAATCTTGAAAAAAATCTGTATATAATTTAGAGTTTGCTTAGTGTTTTTGTCAGGTTTTTTTTTTTTTTTTTCAGATTTTAGCACTGTTAATACCTTAGTATGAAAAATGTATGATGATTAGGTAAGCTGCTAGTATTATAAAAATGTAAATTTTAATCGAACTAACTCTTCCAAAAAATAAATAAATAACCTAAGAGCTTCACTGGATAAACAGTTTATTACAGGTCTTTAGAAAACAGTCTTACCTGTGTCTGCTTGCTTCTGTGATGTAAAAACAAAGAGATGACAAACATACAAAAATGCTAAATCTCTCCTTCCTCATTATTTCTCAGGTCTATCCTACAGCAATATTGATTGCCTAAGTCAGGGCACTTATGCTTTCTGGCTCGTGTTTAGCTCACTCTAAGTCAGTTTCCACTTCAAATATAACTTATTTTGTAATTTAAAAATCAGAATTCTACAACCCTAGAAAATCCATGTAGAAACGGGTTAAAATAGACCAAACCATATATTTATATTGCATTTTCAACATTTTAAAATTTTGTCTCATTTTGGAGGCAGACATCAGGAAAGAATTAAGAAGCAAACACAGTGCACTACTAAACATGAGCATACGAAAGAATTGTAGGAGCTCTAAAGGAATAAACAGCTCCTGATTTTAGGTGAATGGTGTGGAGTCATTTGAAAGGAAAAATGTATCTAATCCCAGGCAGAAAGGACAGTTACGAGCAGTTATGCAGGGAATTTAAGGTTGTTCTTGACGGGCTTTCCAAGGCTGCTGGAGAAGATCTAAGAGACACAGTGAGAGTAGTGTGTGTGTTTGCATCGTCGTTCTCCTTACTCTGCTCTTCTAATGAGAAGTCTGTGTGCTTCCTCTAAGAGTACCCTGTAACCTGGGAAACACATTTTTCCGCCATCAAGAAACAATGCATACAGGGATAATTCAAAAGGATCACATTAGCTGTCCTCCACTGAACAGAAAACACTACTACACCTTTACAATTTAAATAGAAGCATAAAAGATAAACATAGTGACCTAATTTCCTCAAATTTCTTTTGATGAATTTCCTCATTTCTATGCTATGAAAAAACTAAACAGCAACAACAAAATTTTGCTAAATCTGAAATTTAAATTTGTGGTCACTTTGTATTCCCAGACCTATTTAATTTCTGCAGTGAAAGGTTCATTTTAGTACCTTGCCCTTAAACTTACCTGTGGAGGACTTGTGACATGGTAGGAATCAGGTGGAAGACAATCCAAAAGTATGCTGTTCATTAATTTCGCAGACTATAAGGGTAAGGCGCAGAAATAGTGGTTTCTATTTTGTGATTAGAAGTCATTTTTAACAAAATTGAAAAGACAGATGCATGTTCAACTTTTGACATTATTTCTAATTTGATATTAAAATGAAGAAAATATCTATTTAATCCAGGAACCATGAACTTCATTACACATAAATATTTAATAAGAATAGAAAGAGACAGATGTGCCCATTGCAAAAACACATTTCATACTGTTTTCCAAATTAATATACAAAAATCCATTGAAACACTAAAATCCTACAAGTTAATTTTTCAATGTGATTTTTCTTCAACACTAGAAAACTGCGTTGCGTCAGGGCTTCATTTAACCTTATTAAACTGCCGTTGCACTGGCATGGAAAACAGAGAATTGTCTGGCATGAAGAATATGAGAATAAATAGTATATGTAGCACTGGCACACAGGTGGTTTCCTTATATTCACCTACTGCAACCAACAAATTGAAAATCTCATAGCACAATCTATTCATGAAAAATTCATTTTATATAAAATATTTTTAATTTACTGTGTTGTTAATTAGTAATATACTTACTATTCAAAGGCAGAGTTACTCTGCAAAATAAGTGGCTTTAATAAAACTGTTTGCAGTGGGTTAACCTGAATACATAAAGTTCTTGTAGGCAGTAATTTTATGTAAAAAGACGGATAATAGAATTCCTTTCTTTACTTTCAGATTTTCAGACGATGCTGGTTGGTTTTCAAGAAGGCTTCCAGCAAGGGACCAAGACGGTTAGAAAAATTTCCAGATGAAAAGGCAGCTTATTTCAGAAACTTTCATAAGGTAAGTCACAGTCCTGGAAGCCCCTGGAGAATTACTGCACCCTTGACAACTGGTGGAGACATTTCTTTGATCGATGAAATCTGCAAGGGCAAAACTTCATGGCCAGGATAAAATACCCCCATTCTGATAAAATGCAAACGGTATTTTTCTTCTTTATTTTAATCATCTTCTGTAAATGCCAGTAGTACCTCTGCAAAATGAAAGGCTCATTTTTATTGCTACTTTGTAAAATGAGATGACTGACTCATAACTCAAGCGGATCACTTTCTAAGGTGCTGAGAAGGCATTTTTCCTCTGTTCAGGTTAATTGTGCATTTGTTACTTTGATTTAAACTCTGGGAAATATTTGGGATATTAAACTTTTGAGATGAGCTTTAGCAGTGCTAATGAAACTGTTAATGTACATAGCATTTACTGGTAGATGCCTGAGTGAACGCAAATATACTTATAGGTAGAGATGTGGCATAAATTATAGGAATTCATTATTTCTGAGAATTACAGGAATATAAAACATAACCCCAAAATAATGATAAGTGTATCACCTAAAGTTGTCCTTGGTGATGATGTCAACACATAATTATGTGTTTTATAGTAAGACAGAGAATTTATTATCAGAACTCAGAACTGTAGAATAATATCACCTACTGGTATATGCCTGAGTAAACTCTAGGAACATTTGAGTTATTCACTACTGTGAATTCAAATTCCTAAAAGAAGTTGTGAAATTTATTTTGTGTAATATATAGTTTTACTTTCTACTTCTATAGCAATAGATTATTTGATAATAATGTTAACATTTTACTTCACAAGTAACTAGCAGTCTCGTACATTGTATTTAAATCTAACAAAATAGCTTAAAATTTGAGTCTCTATAACTCACTATAAGGTATTGTGTCTATTAATTTAGATTTACTGCCAGAAAGTGCAAATTCAAGTTTCTGTTCAGTCACTTACTAGCTCATGGGTATTTGATTTCCCCAATGAGTAGATAATTTATTACTTGAGATATGGTATCATAAAATAGCCAACACAATGCTACCTGCTCTAAGTGTATGAGAAATTCCTGGACCTCTAAATTATCAATATTTTTGTATTATAATGATTATGGTAATGATTTTAGGAATAAAGGTAAACCTGACTTAATGAAGAATTGCCAAGTTGGAAAATGTAAATCCGTGACATTTATTTCATGAGCACAGTTATGAAAAGCTGTATATTCTATATGTGTTCCGTGAACTCTTGGTAAGAACACTCTTGCTTGCTAATAGCTGTAGCTAGGATACCTGAGCTTCTTTTTCTGAAAATAAAACCAGCAAAATTCTTAAGTAGACTCACTGTGTTCTGCTTGGAACCATTCATCTTTAAATGAAACATGGACCCCTGATAGTATTCTAAACATCCATGAGGATCAGTAATTTGCACATATCTGCTCTAAGGTAGCTCTCTGCTCCTGATCAGGGATACAACAGTGCAGGCCACACAGTCATTGTTCTGAGAAAACTTGAATTCTAGTGCAAATGATGCACATGCATATATCTTCAATTCAAGAAGGCATGTAGAGTTGAGGGATATATAGATATAGTTTGCTATAGAAAAATCATTTGACTAATTTGGAATTCAAGTAGAACTCCTTAGCAAAAATGATATTTGAATTGCAAAACTAATAGGGGTAATTTGTTAGCCAGAGAGAGAAAGCGTTATCTCCTATATATGTCTGGAAAGGTCTTCTTTCTCCTCATTTTAATATTCTTTTATTCATTTCCTATTTTACCCACTTCTTATGCTAAAGTAATCACCGGTCCTCCATGGCAGTGTCCAGAGCTAAAGAAAATGCTAGCTGCTATTTGTCTTGGAGACTGCTCATTGAAAATTGCTTGCTTCTACTGAGAACAGTGCATTTCCATGGCAAACTTCATTCCTTAAGTTATTCTGTGAGTGGTCAGAACATGAACTATCAGCCTGGTGTGTAAAGTAAACTTATAAATGTTCATTATGTATATAATTATAAAGTACTCAATATGTGCAGTGAGAATACTGTGATGGAAAAGAAAGATGGTACCCTAGTGTGGTGGATTAACTAATGGTCAACTTGTAAAACCAGCTGAACTGAATTAGTGTGGTGCTGGGTGTGGAAGGCCCACCTGAGGACTGTTGCCAAGAACATAAAGGCAGAACCAGAGGGGAAGGTAGTGTCCTGTTGATTTTCCTAGAGACAGTCAACACACTAGTTTTCCTGATTTGAACTCATCACATTGGTTTTCCTTATAGAAACTTGGTTGTTCTCATCATCATAAGAGCTAGGGTCTTTGCTGTTGCTGAGGATGGCTGCAGTTCTTCTTGGGGGAGCTGTGCTCCTTACTTTGAGCATCACTTCCTGGCTCCAGTGCAGATCTCTCAGCCTACTGGCACAGATCCATCATCCTGCTGGTGCAGACTTTATAGCTGCCCCCACTGACCTTTGGGCCTTCCCAGTGCAGATACTTGATACAGACTTCATGAGACATTGTTGTGGGCTCTAGGCTCCAGCTGAACTCATGGAGGCCATTGCCATGGGCTCTAGGTCTTCAGATAAACTCGTCCAGGACATTGCTGTGGGATCCAGACCTTCAGCTCGATTCTTTGGGTCTTTTGTGTATTGACAGATCTCCTGTACTCTTTTGCATTTGACTCCTTGGATGAATATTATAAAATAATCCTATAAATTGTCCTCTATTAAATACATTCCCCTGTAAACCTTGACTACAACACCTAGTTTATCTTTATCAGTGATCTTACTTTCTTAATAGCAGAAATCAAACAATGACTATGTAAATGTCACATAATGGCAGCAAAAACATCAGCACTTAGATGATTCAAGAATATAGAGGAAGATCAGGAAGGAAGGAAGAAGAGAAAGAATGGAGGGAGGGAAGAAGGAGAGCCAGAAAGAGAAAAAGAAAGAAAGAAAGAAAGAAAGAAAGAAAGAAAGAAAGAAAGAAAGAAAGAAAGAAAAGAAGGAAGGAAGGAAGGAAGGAAGAAAGAAAGAAAGAAAGAGAAAGAAAGAAAGAAAGAAAGAAAGAAAGAAAGAAAGAAAGAAAGAGAAAGAGGCAGAGAGGGAGGGAGGAAGAGGGGAGGGGCAAGGCTAGGTGAGCCAAGGGGAGGGAAGAGGAGAGAAGGAAAAAGGAAGGAAAGGATGGAGGAGAAATAAAGGAAGGAAGGAAAGAAGGAAGGAAGGAGAAAAGTGTTTTAGTTACTTTTATCTCCTTTGTGAGACAAAGACCCTGCACTCATAAGTTATATTTGGCTCACTCCAAGGCTGGGTGGTACAGCAGAGAGGCATGGCAAAGGAGATAGTAGGCAGAAGGTAGCAAAGCAACAAAAGATGATTACAGTTCTTTCCTTCATCCCTTATATCTTATCCAGGCTAATTAGCGTGAGTGGCACTCACACACTTAATCCTCATGCCCTTGAACCTAGTATTGCGCCATGAGTCAATCCCAGCATCACACACTGTAGATCCAGCCACCACTGAAAAAGCTTCAGCTATGACCACATGAGGCTTGGTGGGAACATCTAGACACAAACCATAACAGGCAGAGAGAGGAGAAGAGGGAAGGGGAAAAGGGAGGGGAGGAGAGAGGAGGGGAGGGAAGGGAGGGGAATAGAGGGGAGGGAAGGGGAGGAAAAATTGCTTAGGAAAAAGAACACGTCAACACTCTGGGAGCAACATAACAGAATCCAGAATCTCTTCATGGCAGTCACACAGCCCAACATAAAACCAAAATTCCTCAATTCATGTAAAGCCATGAAAATTGAACACAATCTAAAAGGAAAAGAAGATCAACAGACAATAATCTGGCTATTATTTCCATTGTGAATTATCAGAAAAGAAGTTTAAAATGGCTATCGAGCCTACACTTGAGATAAATGAAAATATGATTGTATTTAATTTAAAAAATAAGAAAAATGAAAAATGAATTATTTTTATTAGCACATGTTTGCAGTATATAATGATCAAATTCATTATGGGGAATTTGTACATGCCCATGATGCACTTTAACTGTTCTTTTTGCACCATTTCCCTCCTCTCTCTCTGACCCTTTTCTCCTTTTCTAAAAAAATGAATGCTCTATTTCCTTTCTAAAATCAGTTTTAAGAAAACATAATTGAAATTTCAGGATTATTAGACATCCAATATTAAAATTTCAATAGCTAATATTAATAGCAAGGAAAACCATAGACTTGCAAATAAATTAAACACATAGAACAGACAAAGAGAGAGAAGAGTATTTTCTTAAAAGAAAGAGAAAAACAAAGTTTTGGCAATTTAAGGACAATTAGTAAGTTTCTGGCACATGGGTAGTAACTATCTTCAATGTCAATAAATAAATGCATCAGAAAAACTTATATGAGAAAAAAAGTGCCTGAAAAATTCCCCAGTTTTGTGAACAGTGAATTTACAGATTCATTACATTCAGTGAACTCCAAGAAAAATATTCTTAAGAAAAGACATGCCTTGTAGGCAGATCATGAAAACTGGATAAAAATCAAACAGAAAGAAAATCTTGAAAGCAGCCAGAGGAAGCTGATATGCTACCTTCTGGGGCTACTGACTGGAAGGCAGTGAACTTCTCATCAAAGACCCTGCAACCCAGAAGAGATAACGAAAAAATGTCTTTAAGGTGACAAAATAAAAGTTTACCTTCAACCAGGAATTCTGTAACTAGTAAAAAAAAAATCTGTCAAAAATAAGTGAAGATAAAATTATTTTCAGATTAAAAAATCTAACAGTATTGATTTCCTCCATATCTAAACTAAAACAGCTAAAGGAAGTTCTCTAGGCTCTGAGAGATTATACTGCATGGGAACTTCAATCTTCAGAAAAAGTTGAAGAGAATTAAAAATACATAGATAAATATAAAGGACTAGTTTTGGGATGTATGATATATGACTGTGTACTGCAGGTATTAAATATGACATAGTGTGGATGAGTAAAATGGTAACATTGTGAGGTTTAATAA